GTGGCATGATCTTGGCTTACTGCAACCTCCACCTCCCGGGTTCTAGTGATTCTCCTGCATCAACCTCCCGAGTAGCTGGGACTACGGGTGTGCACCATTGTGTCCAGCTAATTTTTGTATTGTTCTTTTTTTTAGTAGAGACGGGGGTTTCACCATGTTGGCTGGGCTGGTCTTGAACTCCTGACCTCAGGTGATCCGCCCACCTTGGCCTCCCAAAGTGCTGGGATTACAGACATGAGCCACTGTGCCCCACCTGAATAAGAACTTCTTAATCAAAATTTCAGCATGCCTCCTGGTCAGAATTGACCAGCTGATTTAATAAGTTGATGTAAAAATTTTACAGTCGGCTACCCCTGGGAGGGGGAGTCTCTCCCTAGTCAGTGAGGTACCAGATGCCAGAGCATTGGCAGTGTACAAGGGGCTCAGCCCTGTGGCTCATGTGTGTAATCCCAGCACACTGGGAGGATGCCTTGAGCCTGGGAGATTGAGGCCAGCCTGGGTAACAGAGTGACACCACGTCTCTGCAAAAAAGAAGAAAATTAGAGGGGAACTGTGGTGCGTGCCTATAATCCCACCTTCAGGCAGAGCGAGACCATGTCCCCCACTAAAAAAAGGCCAAGAATGCAGGCAATATAGATAATATGGGCCCTGTGATGGGTGGAGGCCAAATAGATCAATACAGAATTGAAGAAGACACAAAATACTTGTATTTCCAGCGTAGCACACTGACTAGGACAGTACTATGAAGGCAGGCAGTGAGAACAGATGTCTGTGCCTCATTCCTGATCTCAGGGTGGGTGCCAAGGAGGGGGGGGGCAAAGGGGCTGGGGCAGGGATAGACTTGGCTGGTGAGGAAAGGAGGATAGTTTTTGAGGGAAGGTGGGGACATACAAGCAGCAGTTCTCAAAACGTGGTTCAGGGTCCTGGCCCCCTCCCTGCCCCTGCACCTGAACACACTGCATCCCACGCCTCTCCCATGGCCACCTGCTGGGCTAACAGGCTGCATTTAGGCTCTGCCCCTGTTGGAATCATGCCCTCCTCCAGGGCTGCCTCCTCCCAAAAGCCCCCTCTGAGAGACAGCCTTAGCCCCAGGCCCTGTCACTGATGTTGGGGGAGGGAGGATGAACCACCCAGGAGACCTCACACCATCCTAGAGCAGAAATCCTGACGCAAAAGGAATCTCCCATGGGGGTTCAGCTGGGTCCAGGGCCCGGAAAGTGACATAAACGTGTACCTTGCATCTAAGAACGCACGTGGCGGTACCAGGCCTGAGGCCCTTGGGGAGGATGTGCCCTCCAGAGCTACCCAGAGGCTGTTGGCTAAAAGTTCTATGTCACCCCCTCCTCGGGCAGCCTGGTAAGCAGGTGACCTTCCAGCTGGGTCCCATGGCTCATGGGCAAGGCAGGAATGGAACCAAGAGTCAGTCCTCAGTGGCTGGGCGTCGTATCCCACGCCTGTAATCCCAGCACTTTGGGAGGCTGAGGTGGGCAGATCACTTGAGGCCAGGAGTTCAAGACCAGCCTGGCCAACATGGTGAAACCGTGTCTCTACTAAAAATACAAAAAATTAACTGGGCATGGTGGCACGCACTTGTAATTCCCAGCTACTTAGAAGGCTGAGGCAGGAGAATTACTTGAACCCAGGAGGCAGAGGTTACTGTGAACCAAAATCGCACTACTGAACTCCAGCCTGGGTGACACAGTGAGACCATCTCAAAAAAAAAAAA